CCATGCGGAAGTGAATTTAATGATGTGGTATCGTCTCACAGTTTTTCTCCCATTTCGAACTGCGTGAACATTTCGTCGGTGGCGTGATACACAAGACCAACGTGGGTCAAACAAGCGGCCTCCTTGATAACTGCCATACATGGTGTAAGATGTTCAACAGGGTTAGCACGACCACGACCACGATGGTAGACAGATAGATAATTTTTATTTACTTATACGCAGTACACTGACGGTCGCCGTAAGGAATAAAAACCATTTCCCCACTGGGATCCAGCTCCGCTCTCTCTTCTTATCTGGGCCATAGGATCGCAGTGGCTAGGGTCGCACGCCATGAGTTTAGCTGATGCGATAGTACCACAAGGATGACATAGTTCCTTAGAGCGGGTGGGACAATAAAGAGCTCGTCCATAAATCTGTAGTGACATTTAAATCTGTTTTGTTTTAATCAGTTACAATACGCTTTGACACAACTTTGAATAAGACAAAGAACACGCACGTGCACGTTTACCTGCTGACGACTTTGTTCTTATTTACTAGTTTGTAACTGTTGGGATACTGCTATTTTCGTTTCCTGGATAGCCTACTCGCTGTGCCCAACTAGTGGGTTTGTCTCTTATACTGGTGACCCTATATCGTTCATAGCTCCTTCTGTTTAATCTCTGTGCCTAACTATTTCCATTCGGATTAATCCTCCCTCTAATTTTTATCGATCAGATTATTCATCTAGCCCTTATTTGCTATTCACACTGTCTCACCCTTTCATCCAATACGACCGCTACCCTTCAATCTCTCTGTCAACGCGCCAGTCCTCTAACCCATTTATCTGACCTCTGATCGACCCCGGCTAATTATGTCCAGCGATTCTACCAGCCAGCCGATAGCCGGCATTCACACTTTTGACCTGCCATCCGTGTGGCTCGGTGACATCGCGTTATGGCTGCGCACTGTAGAGTCACGATTCGCCCTCCGTCAGATCACACGAGAGGATAGCAAATTTCACTATGTTGTGGCAGCACTCCCAATGGACATCGCCACCGACCTCCGCGACATCATAGATTGCCCGCCCACAGAAGCCCCTTATACTGCCCTAAAGTAGGCTCTCATTTCCCGCATTTCTCTCTCAACGCAAAAACGTCTCCAACGTTTAATTTCGGAGGAGGACCTCGGTGACAGGAAGCCTACGCAGCTTCTTAGGCGTTTGGAGCAGTTGGCAGACGGACAAAAGCTGGATGCCATTATGTTCAAGCAACTTTTCCTCCAACGGTTGCCTCCTTCTGTGCAAGCCATCCTTGCGCTTAACATTCCTTCGTCGACTGTTCAGATGCTCGCGGAGACTGCTGACCGTATACTCGAGTACTCCCAGCCTCCTGTTACGGTTAACGTCGCTAGTCGAAGCACAACTGCCCCCACAATCGAGGATGTCGTTAAACGCCTGGATGCCCTCACTCTCGAAGTTTCCCAGCTCCGGGCCACTCGTGTCTATAACCCTCGTAGTCCTGCAATTTCTCGCCGCCCGAGATCTCCCACTCCAAACAAACCTACAATTGATGGTTTCTGTTGGTATCATCACAATTATGGTTCTAACGCCCATCGTTGCCACTCCCCGTGCAAGTATAAAACACCCGCGTCGGAAAACTCCCCTGCCGACCAGTAAGGGCGACGAACGTGGTCGGCACATCCTCTCCCAGTCGCTTACTCCACATCTATGACAGGACTTCCTGTCGTAATTTTCTCGTGGATACTGGTGCGGAGATCAGTCTAATCCCACCCACCTTGACTGACCGTAAGTCACCAACTTCTTCATTTTTCCTCCAAGCAGCTAACAATGCTTCTATTAAAACTTTTGGTCAACGATCCCTAACACTAGATTTGGGTCTAAGACGTTCATTTCGTTGGCTATTTACTATCGCTGATGTCCATACTGCTATTCTTGGAGCTGATTTTATATCCTTTTTCGGTCTCCTCGTTGACATTAAGTCCCATAAATTATTTGATCCTAAGACTTCTTTACATTGTAATTGTTCCACTCGTACCCTTTCATCACCTAATCCACGCATTTCAACAATCCCTTCGTCTACTCCCTATCATCGTTTACTTTCGGAATTTCCATCTATCACACGACCTTCACAATTTAACCAACCTATCAAGCATTCTGTTGTACATTATATTTCAACTACTGGACCACCCGTGTTTAGCCGTCCCCGTCGTTTAGCCGCCGATAAGTTAGCCATAGCCAAGGATGAATTCAGTCACATGATGGAGCTAGGCATAGTTAGGCCTTCCACTAGTCCATGGGCTGCACCTCTACATATGGTGTGCAAAAAGTCTCTCGTTGACTGGCGCCCATGCGGGGATTACCGACGGTTAAACACCTCCACTGTGCCTGACAGGTATCCACTTCCCCATCTCCACGACTTTTCATCTAGCCTAGCTGGAGCGACAATATTTTCCAACATTGACTTAGTCAAAGCCTTCCATCAGATACCCGTTGCTCCAGAAGACATTCCGAAAACGGCGATTACAACACCGTTCGGTCTGTTCGAGTTTGTCAGGATGCCTTTTGGGCTACGCAACTCCGCCCAAACTTTTCAACGTTTCATCAACGAAACTCTCCGCGATCTACCGTTCGTTTTTGTCTACGTCGACGATGTTCTGGTAGCAAGTTCCAGTGAACACGAGCACCTACAACATTTGCGTCTCATTTTTGAACGATTGAGCCACTTTGGCGTTTTCATTAATGTTTCTAAATGCGTTTTTGGCGCACAGTCGTTGTTTTTCCTAGGACATCGCGTAGATGCTTCTGGTTGTCATCCCACAGATGCCAAAGTTTCAGCTATTCGCGATTTCCCTACTCCCACTTCTTTTCAACAACTGCGCCGTTTTATAGGCCTTGTCAATTTCTATCGACGTTTCATCCCTCATTGTGCTCAATTAATGCTACCACTTACTAAACTTTTACGCGGGAACAACCGTGAGTTTTCTTTTCCTGACACAGCTGTAGAGGCTTTCAATCGTACGAGGAAGGCTCTGGCGGATACAACTGTCCTTGTTCACCCTATACCTGATGCCCCACTTTCCATTGTGGTCGACGCCTCTAATTTCTCTATAGGTGCTGCCCTTCAGCAACAGCCACCCACTGGCACCCAGCCCTTGGCTTTCTACTCTGCCAAATTGGCACCCCCACAAACTCGCTATAGCACTTTTGGTAGAGAACTTCTTGCAATTTATTTAGCCATTAAGCATTTTCGTAATTATATTGAGGGCCGAGATTTTTGTATTTATACTGACCACAAGCCTCTTTCTTATGCCCTTTCTACTTCTTCTGACAAGTATTCACCCCGCGAGGCCCGCCATCTCGATTTTATTTCTCAGTATACCACCGACATTCGATTTCTTAAAGGCCTTTATAATCAAGTTGCTGACTGTCTTTCTCGGCCTGACATTAATGCCATCACCCGCCCTTCCATCGATTTGGAACGCATGGCAGAACTGCAAAAGCAGCCGACCTTCAGTGACAGCCTTCAACACACTAGTCTCCAACTCGAAGCCATTCCTCTTTCCACCACCCCCGGTACAATCTTGTGTGACGTATCGCGCGGTGCCTCCCGACCCGTAGTGCCAAACGAGATGAGACGAGATGTTTTTGCCACGTTGCACAATCTAGCTCACCCTGGCATCCGCACTACCCAGCGCCTAGTTAGCGAGCGGTTCGTTTGGCCAAGCATGAACATTGATATCCGCCAGTGGACCCGTTCATGTTTGGCCTGTCAGAAGGCCAAAGTCGGACGGCACAACAAAGCCCCCATTGGCACTTTTCTCGCACCCGACGCACGTTTTTCACATGTTCATATCGATCTGGTAGGTCCCTTTCCAACATCTCGTGGTTGCAACTACTTACTTACTGCGATTGACCGATTTACTCGTTGGCCCATTGCAACTCCCATACCTAACATAAATGCAAATTCCGTTGCTCATGCTTTTTTGGAACACTGGATCTCTCATTATGGCGTCCCCTCAACAATTACCACCGATCGAGGTCAACAATGCGAGTCTAGACTTTTTAACAGCCTTACCAACCTCCTCGGATGTTCTCGCATACGCACGACAGCATACCACCCCTCATCCAACGGTTTAGTCGAGCGTTTCCACCGGCAACTCAAAGCCTCGCTCCGAGCTCATGACAACCCTTCCCATTGGAGCGAGCATCTGCCTTTGGTCATGCTCGGTATCCGTACCGCACTCAAGCCCGACTTGGAGTGTTCCGCTGCCGAACTTGTCTACGGTACTACCCTACGGATTCCAGGTGATTTTTTCGGGTGCTCTCAAAGCTCAACCGACTTGGATCCCAGCGATTATGTGCAAAGATTGCGCCAAGCCATGACTCATCTTCGAGCCACTCCTCCACGTCCTTCAACAAGTAAGTCGTACGTCGACCCGAACTTACTAACATGTTCTTTTGTATTTGTCCGCGTAGATAGCGTTCGCCGGCCACTACAACAGCCCTATGACGGCCCATTTCGAGTACTATCGCGCAAGGACAAGCACTTTACAATTGACCGTGGAGGCCGCACCGACGTGATCTCAATCGATCGCTTGAAGGCGGCTTATACCGAGCCTCTTCCAACTTCTCCAACCGAACAACCCCCACTTGGCACATTGTCACTTGCTATTTCCCAGACTCCATTTACACCCAATAACCCCGCGTCTTCCCTTATCCCACAGACTCCTCCCCTTACGCGCAGCAGTCGTCATGTCCGTTTTCCCGACCGTTACCAACTTGTACAATATGCATAACACTCCCACAGAGGAGAAAAGGGGCTGAAAATCAAAAATAGCCGAATAATCCAGAGCTAGGTGTCCTTCCTGTGGTCAAAACCTGTCACAATGAAGGTCGAATCTCTCCGAGGGAACAATCATTGAAGGTTATTTCTGTAAATGTACAGAGCTTCCTTAACAAATTCGACGAACTAAGAGGCTTAGTTGATGAAATAAAGCCAGACATTATGGCTCTGACAGAAGCGTGGCTTACTGAAAATATCGCGAATTCCGGAATATCACTAAGAGGCTATCAACAATTCAGGAGATACAGACTAAGCCGAGGAGGAGTAGGAGGAGGAGGCGGAGTCGTAATTTATGTCACCTTCAAGCTGGCCGCTATGGCTGACGTACATAGTCGCCTACGGGATGTGGTAATGTTAAGCATTATCATGTCTACTAAGTATATCCGACCACTGGCGTTTTTGGTGGTGTACCGCTCGCCTAACCAGACTTTTGTCCAAGATTTAATTCTCGTCACCGAATTGTATAAAGCCGGTGTGGAGAAAGATGCCCTCATCGTTTGGGATTTTCGCGCTCCTGGTAATGATTGGCTTATGTAAACTGCGCAAGGGTCGCAAGACAACTTTAATCACAAGCTACTACAATGAGCAACGGACAAACTTCTCTGCCAGAATGTAGACTTTGGTAAGCGAGCTAGGAAAGGACAAAAGTATATCTGCCTTGATTTTATTTTTATCCGAGTGGAGGGAAATGTGTTAGACCTGCAGGACCGATCGCCATTAGGATCAAGTGAGCACATTACGCTGTACTTCGAGCATTTACTGTTTTCCAAATCACTTCCGCTCGACAGGTGCGGAAAACGTTTGGAAAGGGGACTTTTCTCTCATGAGGAGAGAATTGTTGGCGGTAATATCGAAGACAGAACCTCATGGTGAAGCGAACGACAGTTTAACACTTTCAGTTCCTTACTGAAAGAGTTTGTCTATTCCAACTGTCCTCTCAGAAGAAAGACAGTTGCAAACCCACCAAACTGGATAAGCTCGAACTTACAGGACTATCTTGAAAAAAGAAAGCACTTTTGGCGGCGTTACAGACTAACCGGCTCACAAGAGCACTTATGGGAATATAAGCAGTAACTCAACATTTTTAGAAGCAAGGCTTCTAGACTGCGGAGGGAATTAAAACTGGACAAACTGAAAAATTTACTGGAGCACCCGAAAGTTCTATATGACTATCTACGAAGTACGGAAAGAGCTCAGGAACCCAGCTCTGTCTTTAGGTCTGCAGATGAACACTGATGACCAGGTTAGAGCGACCCTCCTTTATAACTTCTTTCAGTCCGTCCTCACCCGAGAACCTAATTCCATTTTTGTCTCTCCACCCGTTAGCCAACCAATGTCTCCTCCTAATCCCCTTCCCTCTCTAACCCCCTCAATCGACGAAGCACACTTTTCATCGGCTATATTTAGAGTCGAACTACTTCGACTGAGGCCTGCCAAATCGTCTGGACTGAATAGAATTCTTGAACCAGCACTTCATGAACTCGCTAATGAACTATGCAAACCGCTTTCTGTGATATTTCAAAATTCATTTGGAGAAGGCGAGCTCTCGCAAGAGTGGAAGTGAGCACTCATAATCCCGATCCGCAAACGAGGTTTACACGTTGGCTGCGAAAATTATCGTCTCGTCAGATTAATTTGAATTGCATGTAAAATAATGGAACATATTATCAAAATACATTTGATGCAATGCCTGGAAAAACATGATATTGTGTGATGCCAGACACAGACTTCATCCAGGACGCTCCTACCTAACGAGAGTTCTATACTCGCACGAGAAATGTCAAGAGCCACAGACAAGGGTAATCCAGTGGAT